CTAGACTATATAGAGGGACTATCCCCCGTACTAGAACCACGTCCTAGCCATAGCCAAACAACGACATCCCCAAGTTTCCAAAATCAACAAGTTGTGTAACAACGCATATATCAACAGGAATATGCAAGATAATCAACTATCTACCAAGCACAACCAAATTTGGAAACCTATACAATACATGCTCTAAGTCCACAACTAATATGATGTGATGAATGTCGAATCTTCAGTGTGCGATTCGTTACACGCTATGTATGAATGATGTTAAATACGAAATGTGCAAATCATTACACAAGGCAACAATATATTCAATAAGGAAAACATATTCTCATGAGTATAAACATAGCAACTATGTTATCCAATGCTCAAAACATAACCAAATGAATATACAACAAGTCCATGTCCAGGATTTTGATATAGAAACGACTTTCAAACACAATTAAATCCATGGCTCAATTCGATAGAATTTAATTAAATAAAAATAATTAAATTCTCTAGATTCTATTTCAATTCCAAATAACCTCAAATTAATACATATTAAAGAACATGGCATGGTCATCACCTATATCTATTCTAAAACTCAATTAGGTTATTGGAACAACAAAGTATAACTCTAATTAAATCATGCTAATTTAATTACCAAGGTTCTAAAGCAACTTCAAATGGTCCACAATTAATATATACTAGTAAACAAGTCATGGCCAAAACAAATATCAAGTTAAAACCTTAATTAAGCTAATGGGACCACAAAATAGATTTTAATTAATTCTTTTAATTAAAATCTCTTGATTTTCAAACTTAACCAAATGCTCTCAAATGAACCTATATTGGAAAACATGCCAAGAACTAATGTAATATCACATTACAAGTTTATTTCATTCAATTTAAGACCATGTGAATTAAACTTTCACTAAGGTTAAACATAAATTAAAAGTAGCAATTCTCATGCAATTAATCCCAATTTAATATATGTGAATAACCACACCAAAGCTTAATTTTCTAGCATGCCACAATTCAATTCAAAGTTGTATATCACCATGAGAATTAAATCTTAAACAAGGAAATTAATTAAATGAAAGGTTTCAAAACCTCATCGAATATTCTAATTCAAATATATGTGAAGCTATATGGTATGTAGATCAAGAATATCAAGTCGGAATTCAAATGGAGTGAACAGTGCACTCGGTGCAAATTAATTAATCAAATTAATTAATAATTACTAATTTTCAAAACACCTCCAATTACTTTCAAATTCAACTATGTTGAAGAGCATGCTAAGGTTTATTATAATATGCTAACACATATTAATTTCAAGCTAGTTAAGGCCATGTGAATTAATTTTTCACTTAAGATAAATATTAAATAAAATCTTTAATACTTATTCAAATGTTCCAATTTTAATACACGACAATGAGCATATCAAGGGGTAATATAAAATCATGCTACATGTTTAAACCAAGTCATGAGCAACCGGAAAAATTAGATCCCGTACAAGAAAAATAAATAATAAAATCTCTAGATTTTATATTTAATCATGCAAACAAGTAGTATAAGCATCACAAGTATGCTATATAATAAGAATTTAAACCTAGAACATCTCCTACCTCAATTTGAGATGAAAATTTCAAAAGCCATCAAAATGGAACGGCTCCGAATCCGACAAAACTACTAGGTTTTGTCGGGGACAACGCCGTGAACATAAACCCCATCAAAGCCCCATTAAAACCATAACTTGACCTCAAAACCAAACTCAAGAAATGGTCAAAACTGAATTCTAATAAGGGGGAAAGGTAGAGCACGGTGAAGGGAACAACAAACGTTAAAGGCGAAGACTTTCCATCAAGGAAAAGTGAACCAAAAGAGGAGAGAGAAGATGGCAGCACCCCTTGGGCTGCCATGGGCCCTCCAGGTCGTGCATGAAGAGGGGAGAAGATGAAAAATGAAATATCTCACCCCCCTTTTATAGAAATCTCAAAAAGTGCCTCGAACGGGCCCCGTCGGGTCCGAAAAGTAAAATTTGAGCAGACGCGCTCAAATGGCAAAGCTTTGTGAATGAAAAAGATTCAAAATGATAAAATATTAACAACGGAAGAAACGGTGTCGAAAACCGAGTCCCGAGCAGAAAGTTATGCCCCGAACAAGTTCGTCGGCAACTGGGTCCAGAAACTCTGAAACTGGAGAAAAACGACCAGAACAGAATTCTAAGAGTCCACGACTCGACGAAATGTGAAAATGAATCCCGTACGAGGATCCAAGCTCCAGACGAGACATTTTGCAGTAACTTTCGTTAATTGCACAATGACCCCTACAAAAAAGGGTTAACTGCGAAACTGCCCCAGAATGAAAATATCTTCCAAAAGATATTTTCTTATATACCCCTGAAATAAAATATCTTCAAAAGATATTTATGAAAAACACCCCAAGAAATGAAAAAGATTCTAAAGAATTGTGCATCCATGCCTCTGTGGGCACCGGGAGCAATCAGAGTACTTTCTTGCAAAAGTAAAGATACGTATTTCGAGGAAACCACTCAAGATGAAAGCACGTGAAGTCAAAAACCAACTCCGAGCATGAGAAGTGAGGTTGTGCCAAAAACTGACAAACGGAGATAATACAGAATAGGGAAAAGGACGAAATAGCGCATAGTGTCGAAAAACGAAAAATGTGAAAATGATTCGGTCCTCAAGGAAGTTGTCAATCCACGGAAAAGAGTCTCAGGAACCAATTCCGAGCGCTCGAGATGACACTAAGCGACACGAAACAGAGCTCAGAAAAGAAAATTAAACGAAAAAAATTCATTCGTAAAATTTCAGGAAAAAGGAAAGGAAGGCAAATGACTGGGTCGTTACAACCAGGCCCCTACTTTCCAAATGGAGGTAAGGGGTTCGAACCTTGGTAGAGGCATTTGTGTGTGAGTACCAACTAGGAAAAAAAAAAAAAAACACGATTAACTACTCTTTTTTGGCGACGAGCATAGACACGAAGAGCTGGTGGGATATCGGAATAAAAAACTGGAGTTGGAAGAACAGAGTCCTCCAGACGACTGCCTTCCTGGGAATAATAAGGAACATCCTTAAAAAAAGTTACATCTACACACACAAATTGTTTACGAAGAGTTGGACTGTAACATTTATACCCCTTTTAAGTGCGAGAATAACCTAAGAAAATACATTTGTGAGCACGAGGATCAAGTTTGTCCCATCGCGGACTTAGATTATGAACAAAACAGACACACCCAAACACCTTTGGAGGAATGGAGAAAGGGTTTTTGTCAGAAAACATAATTTTGGAAGGGTGATTTTTCTTGAAGGACCCTAGAAGGCATGCGGTTTAAAAGATGAGCGGCGGCCAGAACTGCATCTACCCAAAAATGTTTTGGAACATTCATTTGAATTATTAACGCATGAGTGATAGCTTGGAGTGGGCCATTCTTCCGTTCAGCAACGACATTTGCGGGGTATCAACACAAGATGTTTGATGGATAATGGCCCTCAACTCAAGAAACTTTTGAAAAACATTAAGTTTATATTCAAGGGCATTGTCAGTTCTAAGAACAAGTAATTTTGCATCAAACTAATTTTGAATTTCAGCATAAAAGGATTGAAAAATAGAGAATACTTGAGATCTATCTTTAAGAATATAAACCTAAGTTAAACTTGAATAATCATCAATAAATGAAACAAAATAACAAGCACCAAATAAACCAGTAGTACGAGCTGGTCCCCAAACATCCGAATGTACTAACTCAAAAGGTTTTAAACTTTTATTATCAAAACGAGACTTGAAAGTAGCCTGACGATGTTTACTAAGTTCGCAAGTAGTACAATTAGACTTAGAAAGATCAACTAAAGAAGGGACCAAGGCTCGAAGACTATTTGAAGAGGGATGTCCAAGGCGGCAATGCCACTGGTAAGCTGAAGAGGTGGCATGTAGAGCTGTCGGAGCAGTAGTTGGCTGGAAGTAGTAAAGGCCATCCTTCTCAAACCCCCCACCAATCGTCTTCTTCGTCTTGAGGTCCTGAAAGACACAACGGGAAGGAGGAAAAGTAACTGAGCAATTTAAATCTAATATGATTTTGCGAATTGACAATAAATTGAATGAAAATTGAGGGATATATAAAATTGATGAAAAAGTGAGACCCGAAGTGCGGAATGTACCAATTCCATGAACAGGTGATTTAGCACCATTTGCTATAGGAATAACCGATGGTGAGAAAACATGAGAAATATCAAAAAGAAGAGATGGGTTACCTGTCATGTGATCGGATGCCCCTGAATCAATAATCTAAGGTGTAGAAGATGAAGTATGGAGACACGTATTACTTGAGAAAGAGAATTTATGAAAATGTATATATCATTGAGTGAGTAATACAATAATAGAATGGTGTTTATATAGGTGAAGTTACGGGAGTAAATCAGTGGAGAACAAGTAAGCCCTATACATGGTAATTCTATATATGGTAATGAGGGGTGGGTGACAACTCATACAATACAAACTGTACACGTGTGACAACTTATACAATACTGTACAACAAATATATATATATATATATATATATATGTATTTATAAAGGGCACTAGGGGCTTGTTTGGCTGCTAATTTAAAATCCTTTAATTTACTATTTTACCCTCAATTATTTTTAAAAATTAAAATATAATAAGGTGGGGGCATTACAATTTGTTTTGATAAAATCAGTCTGTTTTGACAATATCCATTAAATAGTGGGGACTTTCTATCTCATTGTCCTGACAACCAATTAGCAAATGAATGAATTTGGAGAAGTAATGAGTAAATCATGCCATCCTGGCATTTTATAGATCACGTGTTACAATTCCTTAGTAATTTGTGTAAAAGGAAATTATATATATTTTGTTGATGTTTGTATTATTTTAAATTAAAGTAAATATCCAATATGTGTGTGCGCACGCGCGCGCGCGCGCATTTATTCCACTTAATTGATAATTTTGACATGAAGAACTTTGTTTGACTTTGCTTTTCTTCAGGTATGAACTCTGGAAACCATATCTCCGAGCCTTGATGGAGAGTGACATGAAATCTGTTAGTACAGGTGCAAAGCGAAAAGCTGATGTTTTGGCAACTTGCTTGCAGCAGATGAAAGCTTGTTTCTTAGATGTAAGCTATCATGTGACCTCTTAACATAACATGCTTTCAGAATAGTTTTCCTGGAAAGCCATGCTCTAACTTCCAGTTTTTCCATGCAAATGCGTTCTCCACATATTTTGGTGATTTTGTGGAAGTACACTGTATAATGATGATTAATCCTTGCAATTTTTGTTCTTTCTTGAGTTTAGGTAGTTTGGCAAGTTAGTTTTGGTACTTGGACTTGAATTTATTCTTAATCAACATTGTCTTGCTGCAATATAAAGAAGAAAGAATGATGGGAATGAGTGAGTCAAAGCAGATGGGCTAGCTTCTCTGTCTATATATCCTCACTAAAGATAAATGTATATATCCTCACTAAAGATAAATGGAAGTTAAGAAATGCACTCAACTTATTGCATACGATATTTAACTCTCTTAGCATGCCTCTTAAGCAGCAATTTAGATGTCTATCATTCTCATCTTGTTTGCAAGCTTTTAGTACTAATTTTTTTTTTAGGGATTTATTAAAGATAGGTTTTTAATTTGCTCCATGACGTATAATAGGGTTGTGGTGGATAAGGTAGCTGCCATTGTAGGCTATCAAAGGCGTGCGATACTGCAAAGGTGAGAGGGAGTTATATTGAGGAAATTTTAGGATGCGACCTCGATGATGAGTGTGCGAGCCAAGTGGAAGGCGTGCAACACTGCAATGAGGGTGAGAGAGTTACATCGAGAAAATTTTAGGATGCGATCTCGATGATGGTGGGTGTGCAAGCTAAGTGGAAGGCGTGTGACATTGTTGCACAAGTGGGAATGTTTCTTGTGTTGAGGAGGTAGAATGTTTGTTGCTGCACAGGAGTGATGAGTTTAGAAAGAAATTCTAAGAAATAACGAAAAATGATTTTAGAGCAAAGTCACCCATATGAAGCAGTAAGTCCACAAAGGCTTCTCATTCCATTGAAGATTTCTTTCACATCCATAGAGGACTCCTTGCATGGATTATACAAGGATACCTCCCTAGCGTAGTTGCCAAAATGTGGGGGGGGGGGGGGGGGGGGTTGTGGGGGGGCTTGTTATCGTAGCACGATAAAAATAAATTGCGAGGTATCAGATAAAACATTGTAGGATCCAAGGTGGGCTGAGAGTGGTGGAAACCAAGCAAACTTGAAAGAGAGACAGAGAAAGAAGATGGCGGTGTATTAAAACAATATTGACTCCTTTCATAAAGGTCTAGAGGTTGTGAAGACGTGTGTGAGAGAGTCTTAGAGCTCTCAATGTATAGGAGGTTCTTTACTCCTCCCTTGCTCTATCCCCTCCTTGGCGTAGGAGCATCTCCTTTTATAGCCCATTGAGAGAGTGGATGATGTCATCATTTGACAACACATGTGGGTCCATTAACATAGTAATTAAAAGAGAAATTTCTCAAATAATTATAACGTAATGTTAATTAAGATGGGGTTAATTTGTACGGGAGTCAAAATGGTATTTCTCTCTTTACAAGTTAGGTCAAGGGTCGACTCGACGGACCTTGAACTTCATCCACCAAACCAATTACCACCTCTGATCCCAGTTGATCCTGAATCCTGCTCCCAACTTAGGTCTTCAAGTCTTTGATCTTCTGTTTGAGGTATACTGATGACATGGTAAGTGCCATGTAACTTTAACCGTTAACTGTTTGACCAGGTTATGTGGGCCATTGTTGTTGATGTGGCGTTGCCATATGGACTGTAATATATTTGACCCCTACAAACGTGATCTCTTGTTTCTCCTCATTTTGCATAATTGAGCCGAAGAAGTGGAATATTCACTTTTTGAGAGTGTCTTGGTCCCTATTCTTCACATTATCCATTTTTTTGGATTTCCGAAGTTATAGTCCATATATCTAGTTTTATTCCTACTTATCTAATCCTTTTAAATTTAGAGATTCCTTTCAATCCTCCAATTTAGCACTTACCCATTTTCTAGTTTCCCCAGTTAAAAGTTAAAACAGTATCATCATCAAAACAACATACACCACAAAATCTCATGAATAAAGTCTTTTCAATTCATCCTCGCCTAAGACAAAAATATATGGGTTTAATGCCAACCCTTTGACGTAACTTGCAGTAATTGGAAATTTAATTTTTTTTTTCTCCTCCATTTGTTCTAACTATAGTCATACTTTCATTATACATGTCTTTTATCGTGTAAATATATCTTTTTGTAACTCTTTTTTTTTTTTTTTCATAAATATTATTAGATTTCTAGGTATCCTATCCCAGGTTTTCTCTGATTTAAGAAAAACCATAGAAAGATTTTCTTTTTCTCTCTGTATCTTTGTATTTGTTTCCTAGTAAAAAAAATTCTCCATTGATCCACCCAGTGAAAATTCAAATTGGTTATCTAACACTTCAGTTTTCCATCTTAGTTGTTGTTCATTCATTCTCTGCCAGTATGACTCATTAATTTAATACCACGATAATTAGTAGAATAAAACTTAGTGGTAGTGGTACCTGAACTGGAAAATAAACATTTTTGAATTGTCGTATGAAATTGAGGCTCTTAATCCAATGAACCAAGAGAATGGGCCAAGTATGGCAAGATATGCTCTGTTTCCAGAGTGGGCAAGAGTGGAAACTTTGGCTGTAAATTCCTAGAGTGCCCTCGCAAATAAAGTGCGACACTTTGCGTTGGAATAGCGACAAACTACTTGCTGGCCTAGAGTAACTTCTATGAAACATTTATACTTCTATAACCGTATCATGTCCGTGTTGGATACTGACACCTCCTCGGATACTCGCGGATATGTATGTATTTGATACTTCTTCAACTTATCCAAAATTTTAATATACATACATACATACATACATACATACATACATACATATATATATATATATATATATATATATATATATATATATTTTATTGAAGATTTAATGGAGGAATCAGTGGAGAATAATTGATGTTGTTTCCTGTTATTGAAGATTTGGTGTTACTAGAGGAATCAACGAAGAAAAATCCTCCTTGTTTCCTATTTTCTAATTCTTTCCATTCTCATAATTTCTTCTCCTATATAAAGGAGCCTCCACTATTGTATTATATATGAATTGAGACCATTATAAAAGTGATGTAGCCCTTGGGCTTTTTGTGATGTGGATGTAGGCCCTAGTGGCTGAACCACGTAATATTTGTGTGTTCTACTTGTTTTATTTATCTCTTCGCTTCCGTTGTATGCTTTACAACATGGTATCAGAGCCTAATTTCTCGTCCTAGGTTCGGACCCCTATTTTAGGGTATTCCCTTACCATCTGAAATGCTGCTAAGGGTTTCTTGATGCTATTTGTGACTTGTTTGGGCTGCCGGTTTGTTCAGCAATAATGTTCTTCGCCTTTGCCGTGTCTTTGACAGTTTTTTATTGACTTGTTTGGGTTGCCGGTGTGTTCGGTAGCATTGTTTTCGTCTTTACCATGTCTCCGACAGTTTTTATCGACTTGTTTAGGCTGCCGGTGTGTTCAGTAGCATTGTCCTCACCTTTGCCGTGTCTCCGACAGTTTTTTGTTGCCTTGTTTGGGCTGTTGGTGTGTTCGGTAGCATTATTCTTCGTCTTCTCTCCTCTTTGTTCATCATTCACAGTTGTTGTTACTCGTCATCTCAATGGCAAGTTAGGCATGCATGCTCTAACTTGAGGGGGAGTATTGAAGATTTAATGTAGCAATCAGTGGAGAAATCTTTTAGTAATTGATGTTGTTTCCTATTATTGAAGATTTGGTGTTACTGGAAGAATTAGTGGAGAAAAATCCTCCTTGTTTCCTATTTTCTAATTCTTTCCATTCTCATAATTTCTTCTCCTATATAAAGGAGCCTCCACCATTGTATTGTATATGAATTGAGAGAGTATTATAAAAGTGATGTAGCCCTTTGGGCTCTTTGTGCCATGGATGTAGGCCCTAGTGGCTGAACTACGTAATATCTATGTGTTCTACTTGTTTTATTTTTCTCTTCGCTTCTGTTTTATGTTTTACAACATATATATATATATATATATATAGATGTTACGACAAACGAAGCGAACCCAAGATAAAATCAAGAATCACAACAAAAAAGTAAACACACCACATAAAGAACACAAAGATTTATACGTGGTTCGGCAATAGTCTACGTCTATGATTGAGATCTAGCGAAAGTCTTCACTATGTGTAAAATCGAAGATTACAAGTTTACAGCCCCTCACTCTGTTTCTGTACGAATTTCAAAGTCTCTCTCTTATCCCACTTCGCATCCTAAGCGCCCTTATATATCGGGCTACAAGAGACTAGTTAGGGTCCACGACCCCCACAAAGCTCATCCAACGGGTCGTAACTTGGTCACAACGTGACCTGGCACCAAATTCGGGCCCCAACATCACAATATATATTATTTGTAACATGTATCTGATACTTCTTATATACTTCTCCATGTATCCGATGCTTTTAAGATTTTTGAGGTAACATATTCAACAAGGAAGAAGCATATATTGAGTTACACTCTAAATGAGTGTGCTTGCTGAGTGATGGACTGTTCCCCCGTTAAAATCCAACTACAGATACCCTGAAGATGAAGATGTAACCCTGATAAAAACTTAGAAACATAAAACTCTTCTTATTGTTTCTTCAAAGCATTGATATTTGTTAAATGTTGATATATATTAAGCTCATTTAATATCCTTTTGAACATCTTCCAGCACTCGTGAATACTTATGTCCTTGTTGGAGCAAGAAAATATTCTCATAGTATTTAAAGACCCATGAGACATTTTTCACCTCAAAATATATCTCATGCACGTCATTCTTGACCTCGTTACTAGTGTTGAATTTTCTTTCTTATTTGAAGGAGTTGCGGTTGGTAAAATGAATTTCTATAGGTGTGTTACATTTATTTTCTAGTTCGTTGGGTTTTCTTAATTCTGCCATGCGCTATCTTGTTTTGTTCATCGGCTCTCTTGCCTGGAGATTTGAAGCTGTCATACCTAGTATTGATAAATGAGAAGATACTTTAAAAAATTGGCATGGTATAACTTGTAAGATCAACCTTGCCTTTATATTGTCTGAATGATGCACATAAATTTGTCTGCCAAGGAAGTAAGTATCGTACAGAATATGATATATGCATTAATAATACAAATAAAGCCTTCAAAAGCTCTCTCTAGACCAAGAATTTTTTTTTGCATATTGTAAGTTTAATGTTGATGTTTTTATGATCAGGATATACTTTACTGTGAACAATCTCTTTTGCATACTACTATATTAGTCTTAGGGTCCATTTGGCGTTGCTATGACTTAAAACAAGTTAAGAGCTGTCAAAGAAGTAATGTCTCTGGAAGAACAAATAATTTTTGTAACATAGTATGTAATTCAATTTTTATTAATATTCTTTTCCCATTAATAGACTTTCTATATAATTTTTTACCTCTGCTTGCAAAAAGCTCCAATTTTTATCTTTGGCTAAAAGCTCTACTGAGCCAAAACCTCTACAACCAAAAAGCACTTTTTTGTTTTTCAGTTACCAAACACATCTAAAAGATAATTTTTAAATGAAAAGTGCTTTTAGTCTCTGCAACAGCCATGCCAAATGGGCACTCACTGATATATAGGACTCTGAATTTCCGATAGAATCAGTTATCTGTATATTTGGTTGATATCTGTTCAAAATTGAACTGAAATTTTTTGCAGGCAAGATTGAATAAAGTAAAACTCTTTGAAGCCATGGCCATTTTCTTTGAGAGGTGGTTCCTAACCTTTATCCAGTACCGACAAAGTATCATAGCTTTATTATTAATTTTCTGTAATGTATGCAGATCTAACAGATCTGGTGGAGATGATCAGCATGCAGTTGGAGATGTTATTCGGCGTTGTGGCCTGTGCCAGGAATCAGATATGGTGCTTAGGCGAAAACCGGTAACTATTTGCATGAATATGTAGATGAAGAATAAACATGTTTGTGATTGGTATCTCTTCATCTCCTTTTGTTTCATAATCAGGCTCCATATTTGCCCATCTTTCCTTTTGGACTTTTAATTTTGCAAATCCTATTATCCCTTTGAATGTGCGAATGCTGTTTAAAATGGAAATTATTTATCTGTTTATCTGTAAAATAACTAGGTCAGGTATGTTTCGACTCTTCCCCTCCTAGCAACTCGTATAGGTAGGACCAACTAAGCACAATGTTTCTTTATGGCTAGGATGTTAGGAGTTATGACTGCTGTGAAATGTACGTTCCAAAATTCGCACGATGTCCTTGGTAATTAGCAAAAAGAAAAAAGAAAAAAATATCTTTCTTAGTTTGGGTTTGCCCTTTATGTGACTAAAGGTTTTCCTTTTAATGGTTCCATTTACATCGGGGGTATGCCCCTTCTTTAACTTGTTTATTTGCTTCATTCTATAATATTAACTCTTACCAAGAAAAATAATGAAATAAGTAAAATAAAACACCTATTACAATGTAAAATGTCTTGGTTTCTTTGTTATCTAGATGTTTTCGTCTCTGGACCTTCTGTGGTGTGTCAATTGCTACATTTGTGTTCATCTCCTCTTTAGTGTATTGTTAACAACCGTCTACTCCAAAAGCGTAAGCTATTAGAGAGGGTGTAACTTAAATATATAAATCCTTCAACACGCCCCCTCACGTGGGGCCTTCTTTTTGATCTAACACGTGTTTTTCAATTTTTTTAATTAGGGTGACGGTGAGATTTGAACTCGAGACCTTTTGGCTCTGGTACCATGTTAACAAACATCTACTCCAAAAGCTTAAGCTGTTGGAGAGGGTGTAACTTAAATATATAAACCCTTCAACACGTATAAAGCCCACTGTATTTCCTTAAAATCAATCATTTGATCTATATAGCATTTCAAAGATGTTAGATCTTAATTGTTTCTGCACTCGCTGCAAATTATTCTTTTGTTTTGCTTTTCATGCAAGAAACCGTGTTTCCTTGTTATTTGGTATGATTGCTGTTCACAAAAGTTAATTTTACTTTCTTTGTTCTTGGATTTGTGGTATGGGTTAATGTTACTCCTTTTTCTTATGAACCATTTTGCTCCCCTGTGCAGGATGGAAATTTTATGGTTGGTTGCTTAGGATATCCTCAAGTAGGTATCTGGTTCTTGATTCTTGTTTTAGATTTTGGAAATTTTTTTGTATCCTTACGGAAAAGCTTGTCAAAATTGGGGAGGAACTCCGTAAATGGGATAAATCATTTAGTTGTGCACTTATGTTTATAGTGTTATCTATCAAAGTTTTTATTTGTTCCAATTCAAATTAGCAAGTATGTCTCCTAGTAAGCTCCGCTTTCTGATCTTAAATTTGTTTGTCTTTTATGCTAATTGCATACATGCATCAATACATGTTTATATTTTCTTTATGCAAATCTAGTAATGTTTTATGGAACAACTTCATGTCTTGTTTATTATATGCCTTCTGCAGTACCATATTTTTTAATTACTTCATCCAGTGTTGTAATAAAATGCATCTACTCAGTGGTGTGGTGAGTGGTGATGATAGTTCATCTTTCACATACAGGAATCTATTCATTCTAGTTAAAGGCTTATCTAAGCCATTGCTTGGTGCATTGTAGAAGTTTGGTCTGACAAGCTAGCTGCTAGAGGGCTTAGGATAACGTTTTTTTTGTCACATTCTACAACTAGACTCCCAGTCTCAAACCCAAGGTCCAGGGTGTGATAAAAATGTCAAAAATCAAGTCACCTTAGTTATAAAAACACATTATTTCATATGTGATACACAGTGTAAAGTAGTATCAGATAAACTAGAATGGTCTTTTGGCAGCAAACTACCAAAGAAAGAATAATCATCGGAATACACAAAATCAACTGATTCTATCTTCTGAATATCATAATTTCCCTATAGATAAACTCTCAATATTGAGTAACCAGCTCCGATACCAATTATTAAGTGTGGAATCGATCTACTCTGATACCAATAGTTAGATTGTTGGTGAAAGAGGAGAAGAAAATATATGTCCTATTGAAAATATATTTTCTTAAATTACACATAAGCACCCTACATTATATAATTAATACTCCGTAACAGATAAGTCCCCGCAACACTCCCCCTCAGGCTGGTGCAAAGACATCTATCATGCCTAGCTTGACTAACATATTTTGCAAGCAAGTCTTGCTCACACCCTTGGTCAAAACATCAACAACTTGATCAAGTGTGTTGACGTATGGAGTACAATTCAGCCCAAGACGAAGTTTTTCCTTGATAAAGTGTCGATCAGCTTCAATGGGAGGATCGTTGGTGGAGAGAGCGGCCGCTAGAGAGAGCCCTTCCGAGATTGGCTGGGATTGCGATGGATAGGCATGTGCTTGTTGGTCACTGCTATCATCTTGATGATGGGAGATTGACCTGGGACATGTAGTTTGAGAGGCTCTTGCATGATTTGGAGGTGGAGGAGATGGTTGAGTTCCTTTCTATGCTTTATAGTCTACTTGTTGCTGGGGAGGGGATGGATGAGTGGCTTTAGACGGGGTATGAGCTATGGGAGAATTGAGGTCCGCTCATTCAATAATTTCAATTCCCCGTTGATGGATGCTTAGGGGATGTCCTTTCCATGGAAAGGAATTGGCGATTGAAAGTGTCATGACCCAAAACCATAGGCAGTCAATTAATGGAGTTTTAAATGAAAAACCCACAGGTCTAACAAACAAAACCCATAACAGAACACATTGAATCACCAAAATCCTTCACAGATCATAACATTATTTTGTATATCATACAATCTGGCCTCAATTACATAAAAATTGTCAACTAACATTTATACGGACATTTCAGTAACCACCTAACATACAAACAGTGTAGTCTCCGCTCCCGAATCCCTCCACTTGCTCCTTGGTACCTGAAAATGATAGGGTGGGCTAATAGCCCGGTAAGAATAGACCATAACAGGAGCTTCAAAGAGGTTCAAAGGCACATGGAAGTAAGTTTCACAGAAAATATGTACCAATTTTATAACATATATATATATATATATATGTATAGGACGTAATTGTTTGTCAGCAAAATGGAACAAGGAGCTCAAGAAAGGATGAATAACATGATGATTTGAATATCAACTTGGGCAAAACACATGTGGCAATTTAAAACAGATAATTTCACGTCTCAACCAAGGAATTTAGGAAAAAAACCGCTCCAAGCAACTCAAGCTGTAGAGAACCCTACCCATGGATGACAAAATGAAGAGGAAGATGATATGATGATGAATTCTACAACCCAGCTTCTTCTCTCTTTTTCCTTCCCCTCCTCTCTCTCTCTCACTAAACCCTCGCTGCTGGAGCTCTCTTGCTTTCCCTTCTGTTGTTTTCTTTTTTTTTTTGTTGGTTCAAGTGGGCATGTAATAGAAGAGAAGGCAACAACAGGGGTAATTGCCGGGAACAAAGCGTGTCCAATGGGTTGTATAATGTGAACAGGTGTGATGAGATTCTAAGAAGCTGCCATTTGGATCCCATTAGAGTTCAGCTTATATTAATTCCCAAACTGTCGATCACTAACAAGTTAATTATACTAATGCCCCAATAAAAGCAATTAACTCACTAAGAATGATTAAAAGTCACTAAGCATGATTAAGAATCGCTAAACACAATTAAAATGCCTAATAAAAACATAGGATATTACAGAAAGCCCCTGAAGATGGCCTTTTTAGTTTGGATAACTCCTTTGGGGAGGATTTTGATCATTGACAATCTGAGAAGGCAACATTAGATTATTGTCAATTCGTGTTGTACGTATAGGAGGGATAACTATTCTGTTGATCATCTCCTTCTTCATTGCTCCTGAGCTAGGGATGGTTGGTTCTTGCTTGTGCCATCTTGGGGATCTAGTGGGTCATGCCAGAGTCTGCAATGAGCTTGATTGACGCTTGTGGCGATTTCTTTATGCGTCCCAAGTCAGAGATGCGTCAAGGACAACTCCTCTCTGTTTGTGGTGGACTTTATGGAAGGAAAGGAATAGGAGATCCTTTGATGGGGTGGAGACTCCTTTGGGGGTGTTTAAATATTATGTTCGTATCTAAGAAGCACAAATACTTCTATAAAGGTGCCGTGTCTGTGTCAAACCCGACACGAACACTTCATGTACGCGTTTTTGATACTTCATGGACGTGTCCTTAATTTAGAAATATTTTTGTTAATTTGGACACTTGGCCGATACATCTCGGACACTTGGCTAACACTTTCTACACTCTGCAATACAAGTCTTATGTAATACAAATGTATGACAATATTTGAAAATGATACAAATACAATTCAAAGTATCCAACCTCTTCGTATATTAAGAGAAAATGGACACTATATATGTTGGAGAATATTATTATAGAAACCTTAAATTACTCCACATAATATTGCTCTAAGAAGTGAGAATATTGTAGGAATGATTTTAGTCTATGACAGAATATGTTATAAAATCAATTCTATCATAGACTAAAATCACTCCTACAATATTCATAGAGCAATATTTTGTGAAGTAATTTAAGGTTTCTATAATAATATTCTCCAACAATATACATGTCATAACATGTAATGACATTTCTTATATATGACCAAACTATGATAATAATGACAAAGTGGGAGAGTAATAGCATATATAATAATAGGATATTCACATAGATTTTATTTTTGATAAATAAGATATTCACATAGATGTCTCCTCTAAGTTATGTAACATGTTCTAATTATCTTTTTTAATAAAACTATAAATGGTAATTTTTTATTTATATTAGCCGTGTCCACGCTGTTTCCGTGTCCTACTTTTTTAGGATTTGACATGTTGCGGTATCCATATCATATCGTGTCCAGTCCCGAGTCCCTGTCTGTTTCCACTACTTGGCTGATTGAAAATCTTTCTTTTTAACAATCTTATAATCCTTGCTTTCCCCAAATGTTTGAATTTGTTTTTTTTTAATCACTCGTCTCTTATTTGTGTACTAACAATGCACCTTCCCCTTTTTATTCCAACTTCACCTTTTCTTTCTTTACATGACTAGGTGAAATAATTCATTTTAAGGAGAAAACTATGTGTGTGTGTGTGTGTGTGTGTGTGTGTGTGCGCGCGCGTATCTCTATCTCTTATGGACCATAACTTTATGAGATTACCCTGGGTAGATTTTTCTAAGAATTTATGTAGTTCAATTTTTCAAACTTTATTTATTTATTTTTTTCAAGAGCTATATTTCCTTCATCTTTACAGTGTAGGAATGTTGTCTGGCTTCCGGGATCCCTATCAGAAGCATCTGTTACCACTAATGTTTGCAACACATGCACTCCAGGTTAACTAGACTGTTTAGTCTTCTATATCTAGCGAACTAATTGTGTTGCATGCATATTATCTTTTCATTGGTTGATTTAATGGGTTCGTCGTTATTAGAGCCCATTTGGGATTGCTGTTAGAATGATGAAAGCGCTTTAAACAGTGGAGCTGTCACAAAACTGTTGTTAGTAAAAAGCGTGTTTTGTGTTTAGTGATGCATTGTTTAAAGTACTTTTTAAACTTGAAGCACTTTTAAATTTGTTTGGTAAAAGTGTTTATTGTAACAATTCTATTACTAATTTGCTATATTACTCATACACTAATAACAATGTTACATAATATTAATTTAGTATTATCCATTCATATGGAATGATTGCTGGTTAAGATGAAATAGGCTTGATACATGGGTATACATCTATAGTATGGTAGGGTTATCTTTAAAAAGATTAGATTTTCACTCTACGCGATCTATAGTGTTTGTGCGACTTACTAGATAAAATGAGAATAGTGGCGGTGATGTAAATCGGCAAGGGATGAAATTGTATTTATATAAAAAAAGAGAGGGATTAGATTGTCTAAAAAAAGTAGTTACCTACCTCTACCTAGAACGCAATACTAAAAGTTTCAGTTTCTCACCTCAAGTAAACACGCTTTTTATAGGAAATATCTACCACCTAAAAGTCTTCTTGTTGTTACGAAACACATCTAACTGCATTTAAAAAAAAAAATAATAAAAAAAATGAACGTGCTTTTAGTGGTACAGAAACAATCCCAAATGGGCTCTTAGTGTATCTAAGCACTCATTTTCTTGCTTCAGATTTGATTTATGTGCTGATCATAGAGAATTGTTTCATAGGTCCTGTTTTCAAGATTCAATTTAAGTTCCGAAGGTTGGAGATACCACCAAACTACAGTGCTGACTACTTGGGTATGCTTAGCTTCATAAATTTTTAGTGACTGCATTTGTATCATCCTTGCATCACTTTGATTTTACCTACAAAAGGTGGTTTCTCTTTTTTTACAACTTTGTTGTATGCATATAATTAAAATTTGGCCTTGAGTGTGTAATCAGTTACATGATGCATGAATATTATTTCCTAAACATCAGTTGTGTGTTTTACTTTTTACACGCTTTTAGATCCACTATGTATGAATGTTTTCTTCTCTCTGCTTCCTTTTTCTTTTTCTTTTTCTTTTTTTTTTTTCTTTTTTTTTTTTTTTTTTTTCCCTCCTTTAATAAATACTTTCTAGTCCTAGTTGTTGAGAGTTTGCTTCTACACAATTGTTTGACCTTAAAGTATTTGGGAAACGTTTTGTAATCATCAGGTATATGGTGATTGAACCACTATTTTTTATCAAGTAACTTCTGGTGTCAGTTGTATTAACACTGACATCAGCTTCTGTTGCCATCATCCGTCCAGAAATGTGACATTTCTATCGTTGGCCTAGTAATACTATTTTTCTACACAACCATACAGACACATATTCTAGTGTTCTAATTGCTGCAACATTATTTCTTTGTTTTCTTGTGTATCTTCTCAGGTTGCATTGGTGGCTGTGATGAGATTCTGAAACAGTTGGTAGAAATTTGTGGAACTGGCTCCCGCAATCTATCCAGCACACCTGGTTTGAATTTGATGCTATTTATTGCTATTTTTTAAATGCACTTGCAAGTATACCATATTGTGCTGTCACCATGTGAACTATTTCTTTTTTTTTTTCTTTTTTTTTTTCCTGCAAGATGTTTTGAAAGTATATGTAATGGCAACTGTTATGCTGGATTTGTCAGTTTGTTCAAATTTTCACTCGACAAAGCAACATGTTGATATTTGGGGATGTATTTGTCCTGGCAATTAACTCCCACATTACACATGGGGAGAGTCAATCTCTCTTTTTTGTCCTAGCAATTAACTCCCACATTACACTTGGGGAGACTCAAGATTGAAAGAAGAGGAAATACCACTAGGCCACAGGCCTTGGTAGATTTGGATTTATGAAATGTTTATTATAATTATAGTTTTAAAGTTGACATGCCACTAACTCTGATGTGGTATTATATATTAGATGTGTGGTATTAGACCTGATATTGGATAGAGTAGAAATATATAAAAAGAAGAGAAAGGAGAGAATTGTGTAAAGGCTTGAATGATATGATTTACTCATTCACAGCTCTAGTATATTTATAGATAAAATGAGCACATGCTCATATTACACAAAAGGAAACTAAATCAAATCAAAATCAAATCACAACTTATTGTAAAGCATATTCTATAGCATAGTCAAATTTCTGCTATTATGGTAAGTTATACCATAAATCGTGGTATCATATATGCTGACACTCCCCCTTAAGTTGGTGCGTGGATATCTGAAACGCCCAACTTGGACAATGCATTCTCAAACACAATCTTGCTGACGCCTTTTGTAAGAATGTCTGCAAGCTGCTGAGAGCTTGTGACAAATGGAGTGCAAATTTGACCAAAGATGATCTTCTCTTGAATAAAGTGACGGTCCACCTCTATATGCTTAGTCCTGTCATGCTGAACAGGATTTGCTGCTATGCTAATGGCAGACTTGATGTCGCAGTAGAGTGAGAATGGAAGCGACACTGAAAGGCACAAGTCTGTCATCAAGGTTTTCAGCCAAAGCAACTCACCTACCCCAAGAGCTATAGCCCTATACTCTGCCTTTGCACTAGATCGAGAGACAGCATCCTGCTTCTTACTGCGCCAAGTAACCAAGTTACCACCAATAGTGGTACAATAACCTGAAGTACACCTCCTATCTGAAATTAATCCTGCATAATCAGCATATGTCCAAGCCTCAACACGTAAGTGATCATGATTGACAAACAAAATATGACGGCTTGGACAACCTTTTAAGTAGCGAAGGATCCGAATAGTTGCATCTAGGTGAGGGGCACGAGGAGAGTGCATGAATTGACTCACAACACTCACAGCATAAGCAATGTTAGGTCGAGTCATGGATAAATAGATGAGCTTCCCCATAAGTCGTTGATACTTGACAACAACTCCCCCTCAGAATCAGCCAACTGATGATTTTGCTGAATCGGAGTATCAGCAGGACGAGCGCCAAGCTGACCAGAAGCAGAAAGCAAGTCAAGAACATACTTGCGTTGAGAGATGAAAATGGCAGTCTTGGAGCGAGCCACCTCAATGCCCAAGAAGTACTGTAGGGGACCAAGATCCTTAATCTCAAACTGACGGCCAAGATAGCTTTTAACCTCATCAATTCCGGTAGTATCATCGCCGGTAAGAACAATATCATCGACATACACAATGAGAGCAACTGTCTTACTGCTTGAATGACGTAAAAACAAGGTATGATCAGCTGCACTTTGATGGAAAACAAACTTGAGCATAGCAGTGCCAAAGCGATCAGACTAAGCTCGAGGAGACTGCTTGAGGCCATACAGAGAACAACGAAGACGACATACCATACCAGAATGAGCAGGAGAACGAAAGCCCGGAGGAGGAACAAAGTACACCTCCTCCTGCAAATCACCATTGAGAAAGGCATTCTTGACATCTAACTGAAATAGTGGCCAAGATCAAATTGCAGCAACGAAAAATAATACACGGATGGTATTCATCTTGGCAACAGGGGCAAAAGTCTCCTGATAATCTATGCCATAAGTCTGAGCGTAACCCTTGGCAACCAATCGGGCCTTGTAACAAGCAACTGACCCATTTGGATTATGCTTAACTGTAAACACCCAACGACAACCCATAGCCTTTCGTCCAATAGGAAGCGGAACCATGCCCCAAGTCTGATTTTTCTTAAGTGCTTGTAGTTCTTCTGTCATAGCATCACGCCATTGAGGTTGTGCTAGTGCATCTGCAACACTAGAAGGAATAGGAACCGATGCAACAGAAACAAGAAAACTCCGATAGGAGGGTGAGAGAGCATAATCAGAAACAAAATTAGAAATAGGGTAAGTACAAGAACGTTTACCCTTTCGAAGAGCAATGGGATGATCATCAAGCGAAACAATAGCTTGAGAAGGCGAAGCCAGTGCCGAAGGAACTGGGCAGTCGATCGTGGGAGTAGAAGCTTGTACCTGTTGTCTCTGACTTTAAACCTGTGAAAAAGGAACAATTCCCCCTGCTGGAGGGGTATCACGAGGAGGAATCATAGAAGAAGAAACAGGTAATGGTAGAGGAGTTGAAGACGGAAGAAGGTGATCATCCATTATATTCAATGGGAACCATTCACTCTGAGAACCAACTGAACCACTATTGTATGGTGCATACTTAAAGAAAGAAACATCAATGGATATAAACCGCCGACGACTGGGAGGATGGTAACACCTATAACCTTTTTGAGAGTGAGAGTAGCCCAAAAACACACACTCCAAAGCCTTGGGGTCAAGATTTGTATGAGTCTGCCCCAACTGCTGAACAAAGCACACACACCCGAAGACTCGCAGAGAAATAAAAAAAAGAGATGAATTGGGATGTAAGATTGAGAGTGGGGCTGCAAAGTTAAGAATCCTAGAAGGAGTCTTATTAATGATGTAAACAGCGGTAAGAACTGCATCTCTCCAAAATGACTGGGGAACATTCATGCCAATGCATATTGCTCTAGCTAAGTCAAGGATGTGGTGATTGTTTCTCTTAGAACGACCATTCTGTTGAGGAGTTTTAACATTAGTCATCTGATAACCGTTGTACCTCCCCATAAGTGTACTCTGTACCCTGGTTAGATCGGAATTTTTTAATAGTACGACCATATTGAGTCTGAACCATTGTCATAAAATTTTTAAAAATGGTGTATACCTCACTTTTGGTTTTCATAAGATAAACCCAAGTAACATGACTATGATCATCAATGAACAGCACGAAATATCGAAATCCAAGACTAGAAGTAATTGGGCAAGGACCCCACACATCTGAATGAACAAGATCAAAAGGTGTTAAAGCAGATTTATTACTACTAATAGGATAATTGGAACGAACATGTTTAACCATATGACATGTTTAACAGGATAAATCTGACACTGCCACGTTACAAAATAAGGAAGGAAATAAATGTTGCAAATAACCAAAAGAAATATGTCCTAAACGCATGTGCCAACGCATAAGCTGGGCTTTATTAGATGAAACAATATTAGAAAATGAAGCTGAATGTGCTTGAGGTGACAAAGGAGCATCCAAAAGGTATATACCGTCCACTTCACGCCCACTGCCAATCGTCCGTTTCGACACCAAGTCCTGAAAAATACAATGAGAGGGAAAGAACGTTACACTACAATTTAATTGTTTGGTAACGCTACTAACAAAAATAAGATTTGTAGTCAACTTTGGAACATGAAGTGTATTTGACGAAGTTAATGAAGGAGTAACTGATATGTGACCCTTCCCAGCAATGGAAGATGGGGAGCCATCTGCAAGGCGGACCTTGCGTTGGATAGAGCAGATACTATAAGATTGGAAGAGTGCGGACATACCAGTCATATTGTCCAAAGCACCAGAATCAATGATCCATGGTGTTGGAGATATAGATCCGCTATGTGCAGACGCAATAGTACTTGAGTGGGCATAAGTGGAGGTTGGCTGAGATGATGCCTCCATTTGGTTGAAGAATTGCTTGAACTTGTCTAAATCAGCTTGAGTCAAGGTAACTGTGGCAGAAGATGTAGAGGCAGGGTTGTCAGGAGTTGACAATGAGACTGGTTGTGTAACAGAATGTGCAGAGGACCGAGGCTGTTGTTTCTGTTGAGGTGGACGTTCATGTTGAGCATAACAATGAGATTTGATGGGACCAATTTTTCCGCAATGGTCACACCGTCCACGTTGTCGTCCCAGAGGAGGATCGGTGATAGTGCTCTGAACTGACTGGGATGGTGAAGTTCCAGAAAGGTTGGGAACCCGAACTGCCATAGCAGAACGATCAACAGAAGCAACACCTAATGGATGAGTCCGGCGGCTCTCATCTGACAACACATCCTCAAGAGTAGGGAATGAAGATAAGCCCAATAAATGAACACGAGCATACTCAAACTCGTCGTTCAACCCGGCAAGAAACTGAAACACTCGATTCTTCTCCTCAATTCCTGCATATAAAACTGCATCATTTGGATCCTTCCAAGAGTGGAAGGAATCATAATATGACATCTCCTCCCAAATAGCACGAAGCTTGGCGATGTAACCTGAAACTGTCAAGTCACCCTGAGAAATCCTGGTGATATCTCGCCCCAGCTGGAAAATTCGTGCATTATTCTGCCTCTGAGAATAAGTGCGTTGAACTGAATCCCAAATCTGCTTAGCAGTCTTCATAAACATATAGCCAACAGCTATGTATGGTTGCATGAAATTGACTAGCCAAGACATAACCATAGCGTTATCTGCAAACATCTGTGGATATGCCTTCTCTGACTCAGCTGGCTCTTTCTCAGAACCAGTAATATAGCCAATCTTGCCTGTGCCACCAATGAACATCTTGGCAGACTGTGCCCAAATCAAATAGTTGGAACCATCCAACTTCACTGTGGTGATTTGAAGTTCTGGATTTTCTGATGAGTTGGTGGGAAAAGTGGCACCACCACCCACAAAACGTGAGCCAAGAGAATTAACAGTCGAGGACCCTGAATCTGCCATAATCTGTCATACGACAATAAAAACTCGAAAAACACCACAAATTCTGTTAATAAATCAAAGGGTCTCCTTAGACCATAAACAACAACAATGTCTCCTCAGACCATTCCTGAAAAATCCAAATACATACCTTTTTTAAGGAGCGATGCCCGCTTACATATAGCCAGACAGTCTCCTTAATATCCGGAACCTCTTTGTAGACTAATGTTTTTTTACCCAAGCCCTTCTCAGTGTTGGAAACCAACTATCCCAATTTACCCAACCCTAGAAGAGTGAAAAAGAATTTGTAAAACTTAAAAATACCTGTTTTCAATCACAAAACAGCAACACAGAAAAACATGTGTAGGCAACGTCACATGATGTCACAAACAGCCTAAGGTAGCTGTCGCACAAGTAGCAAGGCTGCTAAAAGGTGCGGAAAGGTGTTGGCTCTGATACCAAGTAGAAATATATAAAAAGAAGAGAAAGGAGAGAATTGCGTAAAGGCTTCAATGATATGAATTACTCATTCACAGCTCTAGTATTTATAAATAAAACAAGCACATGCTCATATTACAAGAAAGGAAACTAAATCCAATCAAAATCAAATCACAACTTATTCTTAAGCATATTCTATGGCATATTCTATAGCATAGTCAAATCTCTGCTATTATGGTAAGTCATACCATAAATCGTGGTATCATATATGCTAACATATGCATAGTCAAATCTCTGCTATTATGGTAAGTCATATCATAAATCGTAGTATCATATATGCTAACAGATAGCATATTAGTTTTCCATCACAATCATACATAATGATATTTCCTTCTAGTGTAGTTTGTTAAGAATCATCAGAGGTGTTACTTCCTAATGACTATGGCCAAAGTAACAGATGTCGTCTTTGCAAGGATGCCACATTCTTGATAATGGAAGAGTTAGGTTAATAGGATTTAGGTTGGAAACTGTGTTCAAAATGTGGGCTCTAATATTCCTTATTTTTATGTTTATTAGAGTGTGAAGTTCGTTAAGTTAGTTGTGGCACCTTGTCCAAGAGCAGATCCGGTATTCGAGAATTATTGAGGCGGCAGTAAGGTAAATACAATTTTCATTTGGACACACACCAATTAGGTTCACGCAGACATCCACATAATCTAGGGTTTTCTAAAGAATGTTTTGATTTATAAGAGACTGTTTTAAATTGCATATCTTTAATTTTGGAACTTTACTTAAAAGTGATTTTCTAAATAGACAAGGGTGAAGGCCAGCTCGATCAATCGAGAGGAATTAATCCGGAGTTACTGCCATTGTGTGGACTGTTGACACATGGATTGGTTGATCTATTCTTTTGGTTCAGTTACAAATATAATTGGAGCTTTTAAAATACTACTCTCACTAGTTGTTTTCTAATTCTAAACTTTATAAAAAGGCACCGAAAGTATGAAAAACCTAAGCACAATATACCAAAGCATCCAAGCATACTTCATTGCATCTTTGTGCATGCTAGTGATCTTTGATTGTTAGAAGTTTTTGTTTTTGACATTCATCAAACATCTAGCATGGTGCGTGTGTCCTTTGGTTGTTTAAATCTCTACTGTTGCGGTTCAAGTGTCTTCAACAACAAATCCATTCACATAAAGGTGTATGTTACTGGAAAGGAGATCTGAAGTCTATGGAGAAGCAGATTTTCTTTAATTAGTTAAAATTTTAAATTATAGTTATAATTAGTTGAGATTCAAATGTTAGTTAAAAGTAAGTTATAGGACATAGTCACCCTCTATAGGTATAGATCACGACCTTGAGGGTTACGATGCAATAAGTTTTTTTTTTTTTTCCCAAATCAGTCCGTCAGTTTTCTCAGGATATTTTGTGAGAAATTTCAAATAAAGGATTAATATGCTGTTTTGTGGAAAAAAATATGTGCCTTAATAAGAAAAACTAAAAATTCCATGGTAAGTCAAAGAACTTCGAAGTAAAAATTTCATTTGTTGTCAGAAATATGTACCGAAACCAATCATATCTGTGCATCTTGCTTGAGATTGTTGCACAAATTTCAAGTCATAGTATAAATGGAGGTAAGTTTCAGAGGAAATTTTTTCTATCTGGATAATCATAGAGTACAAATCCACCTCTCTCTCTCTCTCTCTCTATATATATATATATATATATAATTGTAATATATGTTTGGTGACTGATGCAAAATATGAAAAAGAAAAAGAAGAGGCAGAATGGCCACATTGGTGTTTCTTGGCATGCATATATGCTTATATCTTACTGTAAATAAGATTCAATCAAATTATTTCTTCCAATGTTTAATGTTTTGAAAAATGATAAAATGATCTGTATTTTATGTCTAAATTTTTAAAAGTATTTATTTGGGAAATTGTGAAAATTAAAAATCTATACCTTTTAAACACTGTCAACAATGATGTAGCGTATCCCAAAAATAGTCATCATCTCAGTAGGTTGACTGGAATTTTTGAATTTGGAAATCTTGTACCATAATCAGAAATCTATGAGATATAGTGATATGCATATCCTTTTGAACAAATTCCAATTAATGAACTGGATGAACTTTTCAATTTTGCACACCTTGATTCAATACACCTAAAGCTACTAAAAGGAATATATATTTGGAAACACAAATTATTCTCTCTCTTTTCAATCAATTCTTTTAGACTTGAAGTGGCATAGATGGTTAAATTTCTCCTGTAATCATCTCTAGCCTCCTCTCACTTTGAGCTTCCTGATTTTCATTAGAAATTGATTTTGAGTGTCAACTGACACAGATTGTCTATTGCTGTTTAAAAACCAGTTGTTATCCCGTTAGTAAAGTTTATCTTACATCTCATTACTTGATTCATCATGATACCACTTTATAAGAGCTCATGAGCTTATTGAATATCTTACAACAATTTCAATACCAGTAAACACTTTTAAAATGGTTCTCAGTAAGTTTTTAGCTGTTGGAAGTTCCAAATTTCACCACTGGATTAAATAAGCTATCTTTTACAGTTGTCCCTGTAGGAATGATTATTAATTCGTTATGTGTATGGTACATGAATCCGGATGCAGCATCCAATTTGAGTTGTGTCAGTTCTGGAGTGATTTTATGCAATCCATTTGTGTGTGTCTCCTCTCCTTTCAAAAGTGAAAGATGGAGGGTTCGAGTCTTCCCAAGTGTGCATAGTGGGAGTTATTTGCCAGGAGAAAATATATATATATATATTATGTGCGTCTCATGTCAGTTCAACATAATTTTCAAAGTCTACTTCTTGCTGTTTTGGTAACCCCACCCCATCCCCCCACCACCCCCCCCCCCCCCCCCCCCCCCCCCCCTCCGGGGGGGCGAAGTAATTCTTCCAATGTTTGGTACTGAGACCAAGCAGTAGCTCATTGTATTCCTCTTCTCACATGGAAGGTTGAGGTCTGAGCCCCCATTGGAGCAACGGTGAATGTTCGTGGTTCACCTCTCAAAATTAAATAAAGAAATAAAACAAAAAGGAAAATATTTAGTATGCAGATAATTTGATGTTGAATTCTTTCGTATTTCTATCCAACATACTTCGAGAATTTGTTTCTATTATGTAAAACAAATAACAACAGAGATAAGGGGAAGGAGGGAGAACTGTAGAGACTTTTCTATGGTCGGTTATTAATCCATAGACCTGACTTTTGTAATATTTCTCCAGCAAGAGGACGGGGACGCACCACATCATCCAGCAGCGCCCAACGAAGTAATTCTAGACAGAGTGCTTGTACCCATTGCAATCAACTAGGTCATTCTTCAAATGATTGCCCTTCACAGGCTTCTCACTTTCGCAGCGTTCGATCTCAGGAAATGAACCCACAAACTGGTATTTTTTTCTAAACTTTTATTATGATTAGTTGTAGCAAGTTTGACACTAGGTTTTATAAGAGAGCAAGACTCTTCTATTTAATCTTTTTGATCTTTTCCAATTTTAAAACAATTAATAAGCATAAACTATGTTACATGGACTCGGATATGTGTGTCATCATTGTCATGTGTGGGTATTATCCACACATTGGACATGTTAAATCCCCAAACAAAAAGAAACATGGACACTACTAAATATTCATATTATTTAATATTTTTATTTTTTTTTTCAGATTAAAATAATGCCTTTATTTAACATAATGTTCAATATTGGCATTTCACTCATATTGAAGAAATGATATAATAAAATTGATTATTGGACATTTGTTTGCTGCATGTATTCCCCTACCCACAAGGCATAGATAGAAGTATTCTTTGGGATAAATGAATTATCCAGTGGATTTTGTTGGTTTCAAAATTGATGATTTTAAATTTTATAACCCAGCTTCTCTGTCAGACTGTCACCACTATAAGGGTTTAACTGCATAACTAATCTTATAAAGCTTTTGTTAATGCAGGAGAATCTTCAATTCCTTGTAATACATGTGGTGCACCATGTGTTTTACGCACTGCGAATACCGCAAATAACAGGGGAAGAAAGTTCTACTCATGTCAATCTCAGGAATGCGGCTTCTTTGTGTATGTCCAGCTAGACTTCTTCACCCTTTTTGTATAAAACTGTCTCTAGATGTGAACTATTTTGACCTTCTATTGGCTTTAGACCTTGCCCTCCCTTTCTTTTCCTTCCCTTGTTTCCATCAGGTACTGAAACATAAACTGTTAATGAATGTCATCTACATATGGTTGCATCTACACCTTGTGCAAAATTAGTGAAGTATTTAAATACACTATTTAACAACTAGTAAGGAATAAAGTTTTGTGGTTCATGAGGTCTGGTCAAGGGAAGTCATCTGTGTGTAAAAAAGACATAGGACACAGGACAGAGAGGTCTTGAAAAAGTGATTACTAAAATGATATATTTTTGTACAAACCGTACAAGAAGTGGTGGAAGGGAGCTCCACCTGAATTAAAATATAGGGACGGAAGAGGGATGGATGAGGCATCTCTAGGGAAGGGAGTGTGCCTTCCTCACTTTTTGTTTTGTTGAATGGAAGGGATTGCAGAGAAGATGGATGAGATGACACCTTTCTTTGTTTGGTTAGAAAGAAGAGAAAGAGAGATTTTATATATATTTTTAGTAGTATACCCTCATTGTATTAACTAATACTTCTCTAATATTTTGGAAGGTAGTAATCTGTTGTTGCCATGAGTTGAACTAAGAATAAGGTCCAGAAATAGAAGTAGCTTATTGGAAAATGAATCTTTAAACAGGACATCATCCATCCATATAGTTAGAAAATAAGCAAGTATCTTCTTCTTCTTCTTTATATATATATATATATATATATATATCTTTAGTGAAAGTCTTTTAAAATTCATGAAAAAAAAAAATAAAAATAAAAATTGGTCTTTTGAATTCCAATTTGTACTTTTTTCTTGCCTGTAATGCAGATGGGAGGATAATATGAATAGTAGAGGGGGAAGAGGTGCCCCACGAGCAAATATCAGTAGCTCGGCATCTAATCCCCTCAGGACGGGCACCCATGGCAGGCGTGGTCGGGGCAGAGCGCATGGCACTGGCACGACATTTGTGTCAGCAACAGGTGATCCTGTATCAGATAGAAGGTGTTACGTTTGTGGTGATGCATCGCATTTTGCCAATGTTTGCCCAAATCGTGGTATGTGACTAATGCCCTTCACCTTAAGAGTACATGTTGCAAGTCTGTGTATTCAATTGGAGATGATTGGAGGCAGAAAAGAAACATATCCGGTACCTTTTTGGTTCTTGTATGTTGCAGAATTCTGAGGAATTTTGAATTATGTTATATTAATGTATTTTTGATCTGTTAATCAATGTCGTGGTGTTTGAAAGGTCTGAAAACCTTGAGGCTTACCTCTAGTCAATGTTCAACAACATTGTCTCAGTGTCAACTTTAAAACCCTGCCTTCATGACATCATGCCCTGACAAGACAGTTAAAGCATCACACAATCGAATGTAGTTTGTGCACGTACACACACGTGTATATATATACTGTTATGATATTAAATTACAACTTCTCTCAAGGAATATATGTTTTTGCAAGTGTTGGGGCCTAATGCATATGCTTCATTTGCATGAAACTTCAAATACCTTTGCCTCAAAAGATCATAAATTTGTCCAATTTCCGTTGTCCTTGAGGAAGGGGAAGAGGTGGTGGCGAATGGGATGGAACTGGTAGGATGATCCATCTGCAACGAACCCTATTTGTCTATTCCAATATTCCTTGGCAGGATTGTTATATTGCTTGTGTCCTTGCTTTTTAGATATGATACATGCCCATTGTGAATATGAAGGATTTCTTTTTTACTGCATTAACAATCTCCTTTAGGCTCTGTTTGACCAGATGGAAATAGCAAGAAAATTGAAATGACTTTTTTTTTGGCGGTGGGCGGGATTGTCTAACTTGGTCCTTTAATGTTCTGCCCCTGCTAGTGGTCTGTTTGTCACTGTCTCCAAAATCGGTCCACTGTCTAGTAAATTTAGAGAGAAGCAGTGTCCCTGTCTCTAATAAATTGTATTGAGGAATGAAGTGAGGTAGATCACTCTCTCTTGAACTCCCCCTATGCAAATGAGATTTGGTAGCTGTTTGGGTCACTAATGGGATAGAAGGTAGACAGATTTTAACTCTTGGGTTTTCTAATAATTGGTTGCAAGGATAAAGAGCATACTTTTCAAATTTCTCTAGGACTTTATTTAAGTCTGCTGCCTTGCATCCTACAGGGCTGGTAAAGATGAACTAAAGTACCTGTTGTCATGCGGAAACATGTAAAAACATCAAATTGATACTTTGAATTTTGGTCAGAAACGTTTTGACACTAAACAAAACAAAATATTTTTTTTACCAAATTTGTTTTTTCCAAAAACTTTCCCACGATCCCCGACCTAAAACAGAAACACAAAAAACAATGTGTTCCAAACAGCGCTTAATAAGTATTTCGTTCCAGTTTGGTTTTTATTTTTGTTTTTTATTTTTTTTTGTGCTGTCAAGTGCAATAATGATCAGAAAGTGGGTTATGGTTTTGGTCATTTTTTAAAAATGTAACTTGACAGTTAATCAAACACGTTGGAGGAGTACATTATTAATACATTTTTGAAGAAATTAATTTAAGGAAAATGGAATAAGGACTGAATTGAAAAATTCGATTGTTCACGTGTCAATATGTTTAAAACATATTTTGTTTAGGACAAAACTACCTTGTTATCAGCTCCCCCCCCCCCCTCCCCGGCGACACACACACACATATTATGTTTTGTTTACCTTGAGTGCCTCCCCCCCCCCCCCCCCCCGGCGACACACACACACATATTATGTTTTGTTTACCTTGAGTGAGGCTTATATATATATATATATATATAGATAATATGTTTTGTTTACCTTGAGTGAGGCTTATTTATCACCGAAACTATTGGTTTATATTTAATGCAGTTATTCAGCACAGAACACGATAAGTAATTTTTTAAAGGGAAAATTACATATAAATGGAGTCAAAGTTTCATATTTACTTAGAGACTGAGTCAAAATTTCATATTTCTCTAAAATGGATTGCTGAGGTGGCACATGATTTTTTACTGTTTAAAAAATTGTGGTGCCTAAAATGCCCTTCCCTAACAAAAAAGTAGTACCTTCAGTTCAAAAAAGTAGTACCTTTGGAGAAAAAGTAGTACCTTCGCGGGTGTTTAAAAAACATGGTACCTGGACGCCAAAAAGTAGTACCTTCAGTTCAAAAAAGTAGTACCTTCGAAGAAAAAGTAGTACTTTCGTGGAAGGGTATTTTAGGCACCACAATTTCTAAACAGTAAAAAACCATGTGCCACCTCAGCAATCCATTTTAGAGAAATATGGAACTTTGACTCAGCCTCTAAGTAAATATGGAACTTTAACTCCATTTATATGTAATTTTCCCTTTTTTAAAATTAGCTTGTTTGATAACCATTTAGGCTACCACTTAAAATATTACGTATTAGCTTAAAACATGCCAAAATTTTAAGCAACACGGACCTTGTTTAAGGAAGACGGTGAGTGATACTTTTTATTTCCACTTTCCATTTCTATTTTCTTTAGGTTTTGATGGATTTTTATTTTCACGGTTTTGCTCTTGGGCTTCACCCCAAAAGGCTTCGTACCAATTGGAGGTGACACATTTACATATAAGCACTTCACCTTTCCTATACCCAGGCGATGTGGGACTGTGCACCGCACCCGTAGCTCGCCAGTGTGGTAGCCTGACAGTGTCTCTCGCACCCACCCACGGCACATCCGCCCACATGGTCATCACAATCCACCCCTCTTGGAGGCCCGACGTCTCCGTCGGCACACTTCTGGCTGGGTTAGGCTCTGATACCATTTGTAACGACCCACTCCACCACATGGTATGATATTGTCCGCTTTGGTCCTGAGCCCGCATGATTTTGCTCTTATATATATATATATATATATATATATATATATATATATTGTGCATGGTTCACTCAAGTTTATAATCAATAATTATGCAATGAAACCATCACACCATTTTTATGAGGCAAATCTATATATAAATAAAAATCAAATGATTTGTTCGTGAATTCTAATCCCGTTCTCATAAATATTCCATTTTCACAAGTAATTCATTTTATATATTGATTTTGAAATTTTTATGATCAATTTTGACATTAATATCCATTGTTAAATTGATATATTTCTTTGGTGAAATCAATTATTATTTTATATATATATATATATGTTCATGTTTTATGTGTAGAAGATATTCAAGGTAAAAATGTAATATATACAATATTCAGATTTCGGCTTTTGCATTTAACAAACAATCTTAATGAATTCAGCGCTTACAGTATCAAACAAGTTTATAGATTAATATATTCAACACCTTAAAATTTTAGCGCTTATTATTCAATACTTAAAATTTTCAGTTCTTAATTTTCAATTTTATCAAACAACAGAGCTTGTGACTTGCCACATTTATTGCTTCATGTGTTAGACTAATTTAATTAATATGTTTTGTTTAGGGGTGATATTAGTCCTCTAAAATAGTATAATGGCGCTCTATATTCATTCTTAATAAAATAAAATATCAAAAATACCGTTATTTAAGTTACTTCTCTTGTCCATTCTCGTGTTCCTAGAATTTATCGCAGTCTTCAAATTTTTATATATACATTTTTCTAATTTTTTATACCTTTTAATTTTGCATGGTTTAAAAATATTTAATACTGTTGAAATCCTTTACTTTTTAATCTAATTTTCCTTATTCTATTTTATTCCTTTAGAAATTTGAATGCAAAATCAGGCCATTGTTATTTTTATTATTTACTAATATTATTTCAACTGTCCATTCATATACATATGAAGACAAATATGAAGCCACTCACAAAACAATTCAAAGTGTCCCACACTATATTTTTTTTTAGGGAATATCACCACGCTTTGTTTGATTTGATGATTTATGAATATTTATTATTTTAATTTAATGAAAGAATGAGTCAAGCATCATATTATATTTTTGAAACGCGAATATCACCACACTTATGTTTAATTTGATGGTTTTGTATTTTGTTACTAGAGAGGTGAATATTATTTCATATAAAAATGGATTGATTATTTAAATATATATGTATCTATATAATATAATAATATTATATATATATATATATATATATAGATGACAAATAGAAACATCCCCTATCTTTGATTATATAGTCAATGGCCCTCATGATTTTGTGCTGAAATCTCATAGGAGATTTACCATGATTTGAGTGTTCCCTTGGCGTCTTCAAAAATCAAATTACGTAGACTTGAGGTTGATTTGGTCAAGTCACATTTGGTGGCTGAGATAAAAAGAAGACGACGGGGGTTGAGATAAAAATCAAATCATGTGTTTGAAAAAAGTATTCACTGCCCTTTAGTGGTTGGCTGAGATAGAGTGTTAGTCCATGTATATATATATATATATATATATATATATATATGTGATTAGTCAACTCTCTCAACTTTGAAGCTCTAATGGCCATAGAGTCAATTGATCGAGAGCAAGGGAATAGTATGATGTAACTCTTTGTTCGATTATGTCAAAAGTACTCGTGAAAAGCACTTCCATACTTTTTCTTACATTATTAATAAGTATATCTTGTATATATATTTGGCCTCCAAGTCAACATAAAAAATTCCTCTTACAATTTCTTGTTGGTTTAAACATTAGATTACAATCTTGACAGTGTTTAGGAGATGGACCAATAACAAGACTGGGAATTGGCAGACCCACTTAGTTTAATGTCGTTTGATTGACCACGCATACATTAAATTCTTCAAAACAATAATAATAATAGTGTTAATGGGTTGGTGACATTTAATAATATTAATTCAAATCCGAAAAATATATCCTATTTTCTCCAGACTGTACATGCGCGTGTGTGTGCGTGTGCTGTTCTAGAAGAGCTGCCCCATTCCATTGGCTTCATATTTACTCCAACCAAGGGCTTGGTGGGTTTTGTGACTCAAATTGGATGTGCGAGTAGTGCTTTGACAAATACATAACATTATGGACGTAACTCTAAAATTGTGTGAACTATGTTAAATATTATATTATGCGTGAATGTGTTTATGTTGATTTGATGGTGTTTATGTTGTGATTAATGAATGCTCAATTTCATTGTGCGAGTAGTGTTTTGGCAGAAACACAACACTTTGGACGTAATCTTGGAATTGTGTGAACCCTGTAAAATATTATATTATGTCTGGATGTGTTTATGTTATTTGATGCTGCTTCTATTGTGATTGATGAATGTGCGATATCTTTCAATAACAATCAAC